TTATTAATAAAATTATAAAAAATGATATTATTCTCAATATTTTACTAATTAATTATATCTTAATATTCTAAGTAAACTTGTTCTACTCATAAAAATATATCATATAGGCATATGTTTACTTTATAATTTTATATTTTAAAAAAAAATATCTAATTTTGTAATTTTTGATTAAAAATTCAAAATTAAGCATTTTTTTCTTAATATATAAAATTATGAAGTAAACATATGTCTATATTATGTAACTTATGCATAGAACATGTTTACTTAGAATATTAAGATATACTTAATTAGTAAAATGTTGAGAATAATATCATTTTGGATAAATTTATTTGCTGCAGGTGCGGTACTATCGCATCATGATACAGATCAGAAATTAATATTAACAAAGATAGCGGAGTTTAATTATGTATAATATAAACAAAAATAAAAGGAGATAATTGCTATTTTTTTTTTCTTTTTTGTCAAAATACCTCTTATGAACATATGTATATATACATACTTGCATAGAAGGTAAATTAAAGTAAACAAGGATCTTCGTACATTATATAAAAGAGGAAGTTACATAGAGAAAAACTTCATATTCATAAGTAAATAAGATTATGTGTTTATTTGTGAAAATTGTATAAACGTCTTACTTATTTTTGCAAACATTCTTTTGTTTGTATATTTCATTTCTAGAAAATGAACCGTGGGGAAGTTAAACATAAATCTATGTTGCAATATAAGCTTCTATTAGTGGAAGACGAACTTGTGGATAATGAATATGTAGAAGGTGAATATATAAAAAATAAACATATGCAAGACAAGTGTTTAGAAGGTAAAACTTTCAAACCAATGGAAGATGAATTTAAAGAAGTTGAATATGTGAAAGTTGACTTTGTTAAAGGAAAAGCAGTTGAATTTGTGCAAAGCGAACGTGTCGAAGTTGAACTTGTAGAAGGTGAAGTTGTGGAAGACGAACTCAGGAAAGTGAAGATATAGAAATTGATCAAGGTTAGTTTAATTAGTGGAATACAATAATTCAGTCAATGCAAATACTTAGCCTTTTCCATTTTAAGGCTCTATAAGTTTTGAAAGCAATAATGAAACTAATGCACCTGTTCTTGGATTGGAGTTTGAAGGTCTAGATCTTACTAAACATTATATAAATCAACCTATAGAGCTATTAGTTGGAGCACGATTTAATTCCTGGGCAATCACAGAACATTATGTAAAGAAGTATAGATGACAAAAAGGTTTTGTAGTGAATTGGTATAGAGTTGAATATCATAAGTCTCATTCGACTACATTAAATGATCGTGTTAAGAAAAGAACATATATATGTGAGAAAGCCGGCAAGTATAAACCTAACAAAACAAAGCCATTAGAACAGCAGTACAATAAAGGATCAAAAAAAAACAGACTGTAAATGGCATGTTAACTTGAGTAATCCAGAAGCCAGCAACTTTGTGCATATAACTCTTGTGGATCTTGAGCATAATCATATTCTCAATATAGATAATATAATATTTGCTACAGCATTTCGAAAGTTTGATGAGTCCATAATGAATGAAATTGAACATATGATCATATATGGTCATTGTGATACTTATACAATAAGAAATTTATTACAGCCTTTATTTTCTGATCACCTTTTTCTTACACAAGACCTATCAAATACGATCCAAAAAATAAAGCATGAAAAAAAGGTTGTTGGTTCCAATGCATCCTACTTCTTAAAGTTACTACTTGAATAGCAAAAAGAAGATCCTACAATGTTTGTTCAGCTATTAATAAATGTTGATAGTAATCGGCTATGTGGTATTTTTTGGATGACAGCAAATCAAATTATGCAATGGTCTTGTTATTCTGATGTCGTTTTACATGACAACACTTCAAGAACAAATAAATTTAACTTTCTTCTATCTTTATTTATTCTCGTTGATAATAACAGAAAATCACGATTGGAAGCACAGGCATTTTTAAGTGATGAAACTCAGAAAAGTTATGAATAGGTTTTACAACAAACCTTAGATGCGACTAGTTCTGAATCATGAGTTATAATGACTGATATGGATCCTGCAATGGATGTAGCATGCCAAGTAATATATAAAAATTCCTATCATGTTTATTGTATCTGGCATATGTCTCAAAATTTGCCTAAATGGCTTAAGGCCAAATTTGAAAGTGCAAATTTTAAAGAATTTGTCTGTGACTTTTGGAAAGCACAGAATTCTTTAAGTATTGAAGTCTTTGAGTAACAATTTCAATCTTTACTAGTAAAGTATTCAAGCGCCAACAAATATTTGAGTGATCCTATTTATTCAACTCAGAGATCATAGGCAAAGTTATTTATATATAAAATATTTACAGCTGGCATGCAGTCTACTTCACGTGTCGAATCTATTAATACAATTATTTACAAAGCAGTTGCTTCTAGTTCCAGTATGTCAGATATAGTTCAAGCTTTGGAACTTCGTATGCAGAAGGAAGAATTAAATAAAAGTTTTATGAAATAGAAACATAAATCAATAAACTATTATCAATCATTCATTATAGAGAGACTTTTTAATAAGGTTAATAATGTAATTAGAAAACATTTTATACTGCAAGTTGCTGATGAAATTAACAAACAAATGTATAAATCAGTCCTTTATAAGTGTGAAAAATTGGATGTCAATTATGCTTTTGAATTTGAGAATCAATTGGATTCAAACGAATATAATAGTCAAATGGCAAGTTTTTTTTTTTTTTTTTTGTGGCATTCATAGTTTAAATTACAATTAATCATTATGCATGTGTTTTATATTAGAATTACAGTGATCATGCAGAGGTAGAAAATGTTAAGGATTATTATGATCTTAAGCAAACATATCTAAGGGAACTTTTAAAGTTAATTTCAAAAGAGTCAGTTAAAGAAGCCTGGCGAGTTGTTCCTTACATGGTACCAAATTCGTA